TTAATGCCAAACACAATTTTGGCATTAATTTTGCTCACTTGCTGAGAGACTGCGGGATGCATACGCGATTGGTTTTTCTTCACCGTCATAAGAGACATGTGACAAAACTGCTCCCAAACCATATGATGAGGCGTCGACAGCCAACCGAACTGGTTTATTCGGGTCATAGTGGACCAATAAAGGTGAGTTAAGGAGCAATTCTTTCAACTTCTTGAAGGCTACTTGGCAAGCTTCTGTCCAGGCCCAGGGTTTGTCGAACATCAACAAACGATTCAACGGGTGGTCAGGAGTTGACATATCGGGAATGAATTTACGACAATAATTCACCAACCCCTAGAAAGATTTCAGTTCCGTCGCATTCTGCGGCTCTGGAACTTCTTGGATGGCTTGTACCTTGCGTGGTGAAAGATGAATTCCATGCCGGTCCACCACGAACGTGAAATACTCAACTGAAGGCTTCATAAACACGCACTTCGGCTTTTTCAATTTCACAACCATGCTGTCCAAACGTTTGAGAGTGTTTTCCAGATTGCGAAGATGCTCTTTGTCGTCTGGACCAGTTACGATTAAGTCATCCAGGATACCACCAACTCCATTAAGGCCACTCAATATAGAGGCCATTGTTTGCTGAAAAATGGCTGGACCTGCTGCCACTCCAAACGGTAGGCGCGTATAACGGAAAAGTCCCAATTGAGTATTATTTGTGACATACTTCCTGGATTCTTTATCTAACAACACTTGTTGATATGCTGAGGACAAATCTAGTTTGGAGAAACTCCGACCACCAATCAGAGAATTCTACCTTCTCCAATACACCGATTCTTTCCAACCTCTTAAGCTCTTCTGCAATTCTCCCTTTCAAGGCAAAGGGAACCGGTCTGGGCTTAAAGAAATGCCGGGTGGCATTTTCCTTGAGCTTGAGATGAGCGGTCACTCCGTCGATTGTGCCCAGGCCCCCATCAAACAGTGATGCGTACTTAGAAACCAGTCGCACGCTTCCAGGGAAATCTGCCTGATCTGCTTCCAGTCAAGTCTACGAACGGACGACCAATTTTGTCTCACAAGTGCTGGACCATCACCGGCAGTGACAATAACTGGAAGGCAGTCTTGTTGATCACCATACGACACCGGGACTTTGGCCTCCCCAAGAACTGGGATTCCATGCCCGGAATAACTCTTCAGTTTCACGTCAGTTTGCTGCAAAGACTTCGCTGCCAATACACCAGACGAAATATGGTTCGGAATGATCGTCACAGAGGCACCAGTATCCAGCTCCAGGTCCACTAACTTTCCATCAATCAGTACTGGCACGATCAATTCTTTGCATCTTCCCTGAGAATCGACTACGGTAAACATAGGCCAAGCGGTTTTATCCACTGGTTCAGCCATGGTTACCGTTTCTTCAACGCTATAGAATGCACCGGGTTTCCTTTTCTTCTTCTTCCTACTTTTCTTACTTTCTCCTCCCTTGGCTTTCGGTGCACGCTTCTCCGGACATTTGGTTACCATGTGGCCAAACTTCTGGCATCCACATGACACTGTGCTTTCCGAAGAAAACATTTTTCCGGAGAATGATTGGTTTTATTACACCTGAAACATTCGGAAAAAGCTCCCTCCACTCTCTTAACATCATGGGAACAGCCATGAAATCCTGAGGCTTCCTTTTCCGTTAACTCACTAGCACAGGCTTTCTCCACCGCGGTTTGTAATGTCAACGCCCGGAGGGGGAGGTACTGTCATATATGGGCTATATAGGTATGTGCCGCTGTGAAGGGTATGGTTTTCAAGCAGTTTATTCTAGGATAGGGTATATAAATCAGAGCATTTGGGTCTAGAATAGTCGTGCTCTTAGGATTATTTTATGTTTTAATTCTGAATTCATCTTAGCGTGTATAGTAATTTTAAGTAGTAACGTTATTTTAGATAGTCGTGCGTTTTTGTCATGAGCCCCTAGGTCGGGAGATTAGGCAACCACTCCCCACGTTTACGACTCAAAATAAATTTACCTTAACTTACCTTTACCTTAGAATAGTGTATCATTTTTCGCGAAACTGGCCAGTTAGTTGAAGATTTTATCTAGACTGAGAAACCAGGAATTGCCATTCAAAAATTTTAAAAAAATCAAATCGGTAAGTTTAAATTTACGCAAATAAGCCTCCACAGTGTCGATAGATGGGGGGATTTGTGGAGTTTACTCTAGTATAGGGTAGCAAAATTCAGCTGAACTAGCTCTTGTTTAGGCTAAGGGTTCCAGGGTCCCAGCGGCACATCCCTACCCAGAAATTCCCAAGGTACCCCCGGGTGTCAACGTCGCTTCAGCTAGTAACTTGCTTTGAATCGGCTGTGGACGCAAACCACAAACAAACCGGTCTCGAATGGCTTCCTCGCGATATGGGCCTAATTCGCAGGTCTCCGGTAACTTTTGTAACTTGGCGAGGTACTGCCTAACAGTTTCCAACTCTTCCTGTTCGGCTTTATGGAACTTGCATCTTTCTGCGATAATTATCGGTTTTGGATCCACATGCTGTGCCAGAGTATCCACGATTTCTGTGAAATTTAATTCTTTCGGTTTCCTCGGCGCTGAAATGGACCTCAACA